GAGGAAAGCAGAGCAGCAGCAAGCTGCAGGACAGCAAGTGGGAGCAGCTTGTGGTCCCTGCTCAGCAGCAGGGCAGACAGGACCTTGTTACCCCGTAAGGTCCATGACAAAGCCTGGGACAAGGCAGGTCAAACTGGTGCCACAGTTTCCTCACCAGTAAAACCCAAGAGAGGAATGCGAATAGGAACACTTGAAGTTAAGGGCAGATTTGTTGTATATGTTACTCTGCTTATCAGCCAAGCTGCTTTCTCTTACCCACCCTTAATAAAACACCATTAGCTAAGCCAAACCCTTCACATCTGCAGGGGGCAGATGAGTTCTCCCAGCCCTGAAGGTTACCTGAATTTCCCCATGTTTCTGGGAGGACCCAGGCTGGGGCTGGAATAATGACTCCTGGCATCTGAAATGAGCTCTTGTTGCTGCTGGGCAATGCTGGAGAGGAGGGTCAGATCTGTAATGTGCTATGCTATGAATTCAACCTGGTTTAATTTTACTTGTTCAGGTCTCCTTTGGCACCCTCTATTCTAACAGATGAGTCATTTGTGAAGAGTAAATCATTTTGAGAAGGAAACTGAAGAAGGAAACCCACTCTGACTGCTTGTTTTCACCCAGGGAAGTTAGACCTGTGTAATCTCAGGGCTCTTAAACCCTGGTAGTAACAGCTAGCAGGACTAGCACTTGTGGGCTGGGAGGAAAGGGACTGAGTATCCTGAACAGGTAAGGGTATCCTAAACAAGGGACCCAGAAAACTTCTGAGTTCAGAAGATGATCCAGCAAGCTACCCACAAACCTTGGCCTGCCACTTGCTCTTCCTTTGTAAGAAGGCATTAAGGCTGTAGTGCACACCTTGTACCCGCAAAGCTTGAAATGCCTGGAAGCAAGAGACAGGGCTGCAGGTGAAGCCTAAGGAAGATCAGGCAGCATTTGAAGACAGAGACAGGAGGTGGGTTCAGAGAAAAGGAAGATCTGAGCATGAAAAATAGGATAAGGAATGCTGCAGAGAGCAGGAAAGCTAGGTAGAGACCAGCGGACAGTTCTACAGAGGATGACTCAGGGCCAGGTACTTCCTTAAGGACTGGCTCAAAGCCAGTCTGGGCCTGCTCATATGCACTTTTATGGGTCTGGCACCACTTGACGGTACCAATAACCTCCCAAGAAGAACTGAAGGTTGAGTACATGTAAGCTGGACCAAGCTGTCTCCCTCTCTGCCTCCCACTCCCTAGAATGACACAGCATATGAGGTCCAGGAGTGACCAGGGAGGTGCCACATTTTTGGCCTCACCCACTGAGGACTGACTAAATCTGGCAGGTGACCCAAATCTCCCACTTAAGCATTTGTTTCAAGAGTATGAGCAAGGGGTCAGCTCAACCTTTGAACTCCCTGCATCTGTGGGATGCTTTCAAAGTCTTAGAATCCATCCCACAGATCTGTTTGGGAAACTCCCCAGTGTCTTTTGAATTTATCTGAAAGCACCCTGGACTGGATTAAGAGATACCTAACTCAGGATGGGTGGAAGAGCATTGGTGTTTGGGTGTCAGCAACTCCAGAACTCTTTGGCTTGGATATGAGCATATCTGAGGAATTTCATGTATCTGGGGAGCTGGCTGAACTGCTTTGCTCGCAGCAGGACTTCACCACTGACACTTGTGTACATTTAAAGAATCTGCTGGTGGGACCTGGGATCTCTTTGCTCACCTGGGCATAACGAGACTGAGGCCCCAGTGGATGTTGTTACTTTGTGCCACTTTTTGCAGTATAGGTAAGTCTTCAAGAAGAGCTCCTAGCACTCCCCTCTAAAAACTTTTGAGCACCTGCCATGGAATGAACTGAGCTGCATGCAATTATTTAAATGATTCCATCAGATGCTGCATGCTGTGCAATGCCAATCTTCAGCCACATCACAGTTGGGATGTCTGTATGATGCAGAGTCACACAATCTTACCTGGCTCTCAGCACTCAATGGAAAACCTTCTTTATCTTTTGAATGAAGTTCCTCAACCATGCTTCCATCCGAAGTTACAGCTTCCAAGAAGTTAGATGGGACAAGCCCTCTCTGTTGGTTCAGCTCTCCCTGCAAGGTCAACATTCAGTTCTCACATCAAGTTTCCTGGCTGACGGAAAAATAATAAATAGAGGAGCAGTCCCATGTGGAGAAGCCGAGGACTGCTCTCATGTTGGAAGGATCCAGCAAATTTCATGACTCACATTCTTGCTTAGTTGTGGAACAATTCACAGTGCAAAAAGAAAGAGGAGAGTAAAGGAAGAAAAGGTGGCAGCAAGCCATGACAAATGGTCATTTCTACACAATAAAAAAAATTCTACTGCTATCCCAGAAGCCACTGGAATGTGACTATGCCACACGCTTTTGAAGGCATTTGATTTATTCTGGTATTTATTTTTTCAAAGAATGATGTACTACTGGTACAATGTCCTGTAGGCATTTTCTCTGTGCTCACTAAGGTCCAGAGCTGCAAACCATGCTTGGCTGTATTCCTAAAAAATTGTCTCCAGTTCAACAGCAGGTGGTTGGGTGAGACAAAACCAACCCCAGCAATGTTGTTTGGCCAACCTATAACAGAAGTCAAACAAAACCTGACAATGATCCCCTCTGGACTTTACCTGGAGATGAACCTCAACTTTGATGTGTGAAGACACACAGCTTTCTGTGCAGGAAAAGGTGGATGATCCAAGGGCCAAGGATCACGTCTAGCACACAGCTCGTCGGCAGGCACAGTCCCCAGGTACGCACAGTAAGTTGAACAGATACCAGTGCTTGTTGAAGTGGCTGGATGGGGGTCATCATCTAATTTTATTCTTATGTTATCATTTTAGCCTCGTGCACTGGATGAGACCATGTGCCTGAGTGCTTGGCGACAAATCAGCCTACAGCAGGTGCTGATTCAGCTGACGTACGTACAGAAAAATGTATTCTAGGCTTTGGGAAACCTGCAGTCAAGTCATGCCAAGAAATAAACTCAGAACAATTTGGATATTGAGTTTTCAGGAGGAGCGTAGACTGCCAGAAACAATCCACCCTGCACTAAGCAGATCCAGGTTTACTTTTTTTTTTCCCCAAAAGCAGAATATTTTGTTCCCTGATTTCTGCTCTCCTGCCACTAGATGGACTCCAACGATTTCAGATGTAGCCACCGGACTCCCAACTCCTGTACTTACATAATAGAATCCATCATCATCCATGGACCCAAACACAGTGATAATGTCCCCTGCGCTGAAAGTCAGTTCAGCCTGCAAAAAACAAGAGAACAACAGTCACAGGAGAAGCACTGCCTGGAATTTCTCACCAGCAACACAAGATCACTCTGAGTTTTCTGCACAATCTCACCATGAGGGAGGGAGGTGACTGTGTTAAGACTTGCAGGACCAGGATGCAGAAGAGCAACCAAAGCGTGTAACTGTGGAATTCAGTGCTAAGGGAGCATTTAATAAATTAATACAAGAAAAAAGCCTGTTTCTTAAATCAATCCTAATAAAGCTTCAAAATAGTACCTACCACCTGTTCTGGAAAGGTATGCTGAGAAAAAGCTCAACAAGTACCAGAAATACCTTTAATTTCTTTAACTATAAGTACTAAATCCCGCTCCCTTGGATGAGCCTGTTCTGTATGCAATGCCCAAGGACTACTCACAAGCAGGAAGGCACACAATCGGGAAGATCTGACCTGGAAACAGAACATTACTGCACAACACACATGACCCTTCACCATCAGATCCGTCTGTCCTGTCAGCCACCCCAGCATGCGCTCCAGAGAGCACAAGACTGAAGACAAAGGTGTAAGCACACTCTTCTAATGGAAGAAACTGCCCAGTTACAGCAAAAAAAGCTGCTCTGAGATAGAAAAAGTGGAATCTCCAAACAGGCTGTGCCCACTCAAGACACACTGGCTTTATATGCACTTAATGTTAGCTGGAACGGACCTACCTCTAATATATTTACTATATCCTTAGTACTCAAGTTATCTCTAGAGGCTGCAAGTTCCTACTATTGGTTGTGAATTACTTTGTTCTATTAGAAAAGACACTTGTAGGGAACTTCACCCACCGACACACGGAACAGCACAGCTGATCCTACTGTGTCTTGGTGCAAGTTCACAAACAGCAGCTGCAGCCTGCTAGCAGAACAGATGACCAAATTTTCTGGGAGTGTGAACAGGGAGCATCTCCAACAATGCATCAGAACTGCTTGTTTCAATAATCTGAGATCTGACCACGGGGAAGGTTCTAGGAAGACCAAATCACTGCAAAAAATTACAATCTTCTTGTTGATAAGTGCTCAGGTGTTCTTTGGCCGTATGCATGAATATATATATGGATGTTGGTTGACACATGCTCTCATTGAATCTCTCCCAAGATAATCCACCATCCCTAATCCACTCTGTCCTCAGAAGCAGGCTGTCTCGCTCATGAGACACTCAGTTTGGGAGGCAAGCACTCCCTGACCGGTGCCACCTCTCCGCCATACACTCCTTTCTGGATGCATGGAGAGAATTTGAACCCAAACCCCACGTTTATGTTTGCTCAGAGGAGACTAACGCTGCCATGGAGGAGCAGAGAACAGAGCATATTCTAACTAGAAAGGTTTTTTGCAGAAAGGATTCTGCATCTTTTCACCTAGAACAGACTTATCCACAAAACTACTGTTTGGATTATATATAGGGACTGCTGGAAAAAAGGACCAGTCCATTAAATTGGAACTAAGTCTTTTTGCTTGAACAAAGACCTACACAGGTAGTTAATACAAAAGACATGCTCCAAGGTATGCTCACCTAAAGTACCAGAAGTCCATCCAAACTCTTAGGCAGGTGGGTGCCCTGCATCAGTTGCTAACAGCAGGGGCTGCTTCCCTCCTCCCCCTGATCTGCTAAATCCTGTCTAAGCACCAGAGGATGCCACGAGGCCATGAGATGCTCACATAGTTTCACTCAGACACACAGTGAACATCGTTAGGGGTATACAGCTTCATATTCTTCACAGATAACAGAACAGTGTTATCAGAGAATGCATGACAGAACACATCAGCAACTCCACATTTTATGACTTCAGCCAACCCCTCTGAGCCGTTATATTGCCAAGCTATATCATCCTGGTTTTGACCAAGTGCTAAGTGTCTTGGGACAGAAGAAAAAAAGAGGAAAAAGAAGCCTATAAGAGGAGTGAGCAGGTGGTTGTTACCTCTACGTCTGCATTTGGAGAGCTCTCCTTAGGGTTATAGTCGAAGACAGCCACCATACTTCGAGGAGTCAGCAGTTCAGCTTCAAAGTCCTGATGCTTCTGGCCTGCAGGACAAAAATAAAGCAAAATATCCTGAGCTGGCAGCTCTAAGACAAAATCCCAAATCACAGCAACTCCTTCACTGTTCTTGGAGTGGACTGAGCAAAAAGAATATTACGGGGAAACTGAATGGGAGAGAGATCTTAGACACACCAGGGAAAGCAGTTTTCTTATCTCCTGTATCACCTCACAAGCACAGAAATGAGACATGTCCCCATTCCAGCATCCTGGTGTCCTGTCTATATATACAGGAATGTTTTATTTTATGTTTCCTATTTATACACACACAGAGGACAGCAGCATCTTCACAGTGTCTCAAATGGACATTTCCCCTCCCTCCACACAAGGCTCTGCGAAAGAGCTACAAAATTTATCCTCCAAGTGCCAGAGGAACAGCCAGAGCCCTGGACAGCATCGACCAGCAGCCCAGCCACAGCAGGCCTCATTGTTCAGGGAACATAGAATCACAGAATCATAGAATGGTTTGGGTCTGAAGGGACCTTAAAGATCATCTAGTTCCAACCCCCCTGCTGCAGGCAGGGACACCCTCCACTAGACCACATTGCCCAAAGCCTCATCCAACCTGGTCTTAAACACTTCCAGGGAGCCAGGGGCAGCTACAACCTCTCTGGGCAACCCATTTCAGTGCCTCACCACTCTAACACTAAAGAGTTTCTTTCTCACATCTAATCTAAA